AAACGCCCCTCCCCGCGAGGGAGAGCCCCTCTTGTCCAACTAGTCCCCGTCCTGCCCGCGCAATGTGTGCCTATGCGCGCAACTTGCCGCGCACAAGCCTCGCTTCCCAGAATAATTCACCACCCTGCGGTGCGCTCCGGAACGCGGGGCAGGGAACCGGGACTCCCTGGCTCCTTGTGACCGAGTCATGTCCCTGTCCTTCGGCATGCCTCAGTTTCCCCACAGAATAAGGGGGCAGGGGCAATGGTGTGGATTTGGAGTGTCCCACAACGGCGCTGGCACTGCCCGTGAAGGGACAGGGTTTATTCCCAGCGGGGGGTGTTAAGTTCGCAGAATTCCCCTCGGAGGACAGACTCACATTTCCCTGTAGCCCTACTCAGGGCCCCGACGAGCGTGGGGAAAGGTTTCCTTGGAGCAACTTTCCCCGCACCAAGACAGGTAGCGGGAGCTGGAGGTGCCTCCCACGGGCCACGCCAGCCCCGGGCGCAGCGGCGACACAAGTCCCGCAACCGCTGGGCCTGAGTGAAAACCCGCGCTCCGTTCCCGCTGGCTGCGTTTTACCCGCAGGGGAACGACGGCCCCGAAGGGAAAGCGGGTCTGTGGGCGCCTCTGGGCCAGCGGGAGGGAACTGAGCCGAACGGGCGCGCAGTTTGCAGCCCCCTCCCCCCCCCCGACAGACGGGTTTCACCCCACGGGGGGTTTCAATCAAGCCTCAGCCGCCGCGCCAGGAACCGCTCCACGAACCCCCGTGAGAACAGCGGAGCCCTCGCGGCTCAGGCTGCGCTGGGCTCCGCCACATCGCTGTAGGTACGAGGCAGCTCGTGGGAACCTGCAGGGGCCGGGGCTGTAGCTAGGGGAATTACGGTAAGGGGAGAGGCGTGTTCATGCAGGATCCCCCTCCGCCTGGAACGGCCGGGCCCGATCCGACTCAGTGACTCCGATGAAGTTTTTCCATCAGTTTCGTTGGGAGCTGGGCGAGGCTCCTGGGCTCCGCCACATCGCTGTAGGTACGAGGCAGCTCGTGGGAACCTGCAGGGGCCGGGGCTGTAGCTAGGGGAATTACGGTAAGGGGAGAGGCGTGTTCATGCAGGATCCCCCTCCGCCTGGAACGGCCGGGCCCGATCCGACTCAGTGACTCCGATGAAGTTTTTCCATCAGTTTCGTTGGGAGCTGGGCGAGGCTCCAAAAGCAAATCAGTGGAGCTCACCAGAGAGTTTGCCCATCTCCAGCACAGCCAGCTGATGTCCCTCCCCTTCTTCATGCCTCACTTTCCCCACAGTATAAGGCGGGGAGGATGCCCTGTGGTTCTGGGTTTTCCCTGCCAGGAATGCTGCTCAGGCCAGTTTGCTGCCTTTGTTGCACCTTCTTTACCCTCGGGTGGGTCTCCTAAGAGCACGGGGGCAGCCCTGGGTGTTGCAAAACCCACGGAAAATAGACAAGAAGTTGACACATAACGTTGTCCCCTAGCAAAGTCTCCCGTCTCCCCCCCCCCCCTGCTTGCCCAGTTCACATTGGGGCAGTGGGGCTGATCCCAGAGGTTGCTGCAACAGAAACCGAGAATCATTCCTGTGAATGGACTTTAGGGCTGGGTACAAAGGACCCTGCTGTAAATCCGGAGTGACTCCGCTGAGGTCGTATGGGTGTAAAAGCAGCATGGGCGGGATCAGAATCAGGTGTCTTGATCCACACAGACAATATACCAGGCTGTGATTTGGTGTAGCCTGGGGCATTGCTGCTTCCCCAGGAGAGCCATGTGCTACAAGCGAGAGCCTTTGCTTAGATCCTGCTAACGTAGGACCTGGCCATGGACCCATTGACAAAAAGGCCAATCTCCCACTGGCCTCCAAGACTCAGGACGTGCCACCCCTTCTGCTAGGTTTCCCCTTGGCATTAGAGTAATTTATTAAAGTTGAAATCCAAATGAGACAAGGGTCCCCTGATTCAGCTCCTCAGGTCCTGGCTGAGGTGACTCCCTGGAGCAGAGGGAAGGAATAACAGGTCTCGAAGTGGAGCCGAGATGGCAGTTGCCATTCTCAGCTGGGCCACAGCCCATGGACTGTGGTGTTGCAGGGGAAGGCTGAGCCAAGGCAGGCTACCTCTGCTAGCCCGAGATGTGAGAGGGGCTTCTACGGGAGGCCGGCAGA